CTTCTGGTTCAGGAGTCGTGAGCGCTCTACCTTGAGAGTCGACATTCTTCCTGGTGGCGCATCTGGAAGGAGAGGGCGGTGCCTCTGAGGAGCCCTGGTCGAAGCACGGGTCACGGTCACCATGCTACCCATGGGAGTAGAGCACACATGCTTTGCTGCTTTGTCCTTTAAGCTCTTGCTGCGCTATAGAGGGAACGTGGACTGACCAGTCCTATGCAAGATGTCTACCAGACCATCTATAAATTAATTCTGGGGAATCTGATTTGAACACTGGCTGTGATCGTCATCCTGTCTGCGACGTTAAATAGTTCCTGAGGACCTTGGGGGCTGTCCTTAAACTGCCTCTTGATCAACCAGATCAGTCGGATGTAAGGTTCGTTGCACGCGAGGATAAATAACGGGCAGGATTTGTCATAAGCGGGTGCTCGAGCACAGACACATTTATTTCCATTACCGCATACATCTGTGCAATCAGACTCAACTCTGGACTTGCTCACAACATGCACGCTTGAGAACCGATGGCAAGACTGAACTCTTTCAACTCAAAAAAATAAAATAAAATGAACTTGTCTTAAACTCAATCTTAACAGCTGCACAACTTGCGGCTATGGCCGCCGAACATGGTCTCTACCACCAGCCTCACTCTCTCCCTCACTGTCTCATGCGTGCACGTACGAGGATCACCCTRAATGTCCCCACTCAGCACWRCCTCACACACTCTGAACACTTGTCTTCACCAACAGCTGGGCGGCTATGGCCGTCGWCGTCTTCCTCCTGCTGGCTATGGCCGCCGACATCTACCCCACTGGCCAGCTATGGCCGCTGTCTTCTTCACTRCCCACTTCGTCTCCAGGCACCYGCAGACCTCCATGCACAAGACACCAAGGCAGCTCTTCYGCATGGCTCACAGGCGAATGAATGAATGGCTGGACGCTGCCYRTTTATTTATACTTCTTCSGAGGTACCCGGACCCTGCCTCCAGACCTGTGGGCCTGGGCCAAAACSTGTGGCCCARGGAAGCTTCCAGACGTTTGGCCTTCTGGGCCAAAACGTGTGGAACTCTCTGCATGCTCCAGAACCTTCCCCACGTGCAGCCCTTACCCAGGTACATGCTGGCTGGACCCCCCCTACAGAACCCTACRGACTTMTSGAACCTACAGACTCTACAGACTTTCGACAGACTCAGTAGAGACTTCTAGAACAGGCTTTCTAGGCCTATTGGTAACAGACCTAGCTGCTAAYCTACAGACCTAGGGATCAAGTCCTACKGACCAAACTACAGACTAACCTAAGTCGTAGGACAGGTTTGGGGATCGAATCCTACTCAGGTCACGGGGTCTATGTACAGGTACAGGGTAGGTCTAGGGATCGAATCTCACTCAGCACACAGGGTCAATGTACAGGGTTAGGGCACAGGTCTAGGGATCGAATCTCTGTGATTGCAGTACAAGGTCAACTGGGTGAAACCGTTTCAATCTGTGCACTTGATCTATTTTTATTTCGATTAGCTGAGGTGTGACAGACTGTTAACACCTAACAGACAGCATTAGTTCAGAACTGTAACACCTGACAGACAGCATTAGTTTAGAACTGTAGTAGTCTACCATTGCCAGTTCTATGTGATGCTGTTGTAAGAGGACTAATCGAAGTAGGAGTAAATAAATTGCTTCATCCGTGGATAAACTGTTGACACCATTTGATCGGTAGCCTGAGTGACTTGCGGAATATTTGTTTATTTTTAATTATTTTTCAACTCGGTCAGACACATGCTGTGGTAGACTCCATTGAGGGCACTAGTGCAAACAATGATCTCCTTAGCTGATGAGCAGTACAAATAGTGGTGAAGGGACAGCTGACGATAGGAGGCAAACACGACCGGATACACGACGAATTCCGATAGTGTTTCAGGTTTTGCTACCAGGGGACGAGAGAAGGTCCCGGGCGGAAGCAAGGGCATGACATTTGCAGACTTCTAGGGAGGCAGCAGCAGCTGCAGAACAAGTGCTAGCGGCAGCAGCAGCTAGCCCAGTAGCGATGGCTACATCTGCAGCAACCTCTCAAGGTCAGCAGACGTCAAGAACCTTAGCTAGTTCCTCCGCCTCATCCAGTGGGATGAGTGCAGGACCTTCCACAAGTCAAATGCCAGGCTCACAGTACAGCTCACCACCTCCACGCACTAGAGAGGCCATAGAACTCCAGCAAGTGGAGTTAATCCGCTTACGGCTAGAGAAGGAACTTAGGGAAGCTACCGAAACAGAAAATGAGATTAGAGATAGGAAAGCCAGATTAGACAGCAAAAGGGCAGACAAAGCTGCAATAGAAGGGTTCGATGACTCGACCCTTGACGACACTTGTAAAATCCTCAAGGCGGGTATGTTGAGCATGTACGCTTACATGGACAGCAAACTGGATGCAATCCAGAACACCCTTGACCAGATACTGAATGCCATGCAGACAAGAGGAGGACCACATCCCTCCTTAGCTCGTGGGCCCAGTGTCCAGCCACAGGCAGCATTTCCATCACCAGTAGTAACACCGGCGATGACAACCTCATTTGCCCCTCAATTTGGTACCCCGCCAAGTGGTACATCAGCAAGCAGCACAAACTGTTGCTTCTCCATGTTCAGGTCCAGCTGCCGCCGCTACGGGGCAGCAGCAAGTTCCACAAATGGGACTACAACAGCCTTAGTACCCCAAGACTCCACTGAAACCACCCCCGTCTTTCTCAGGAGATAAGAAGGACGAGGCACTTGACACATGGCTGAGGACGGTTTCAGTATGGGTTAGGACGAAGAGGACGTTGCTAGAAGAAGAGGTGATCATTGCCGACTCATATCTTGAGGGATCAGCAGCGAGATGGCTAGATGGAATAGTGGCATCCCAGGGGTTCTGTCGAAGGATGAATGATTGGGCAAGGACCCACACACTGGAGAGCTTCATGGCATTGGCTGAAACGAGATGGCACAACCGACAGCAGGCCCAGCAGGCCACTAATGCGTTGGCCCGACTTGATATCAGAAGGTGCAAGTCTGCGCGTGAGCTCACCGCCGTCGTGGAGAAACTCATAGTCGTCCCGTGAGTCCGCTATGATCCACAAGTCTTGCTGACCATGTATCTGAGATGTCTTCCCACAAACATCAAGAACCTGATGGTCAGCGAGGCAAGAAGGCCCTAGATTTACAGGCCAAGCTAGGAGGAGCACAACAACCTGCCACGGACGGTACGACGAGAAGCCCCCACAATGGAATAAGAAGGGTAATGGGTTGATGATGGTTGCTTCCGATGGGAATCAAACTGAGATCGATGATCTCTCTGATCTTGTGGAGGAAACAGATATGGGTGGCGAGGAGAGTGTAGAGGGTGACAACCTCACCACCGTAACCAAAGGAAAGGCAGTTGGTCGCGGCAAAGAGGGCCAGCAAAAGAGTCAGGGGCAAGCCCAAAACTCAAACAAGACTCCGGCTTGGGTGAGGGAAGGTCTGGATCATGATGTGTGGAGGGACCGGTATTCGCATGGAGCTTGCATAAATTGTGGTGAGAATGGTCATCAACAGTTTAAGTGCAAGAACATCAAGGTCTCTCAAAAGATTCCGCCCAAATGTGGTTTTGTGGGATCTTTCGCCCATAGTGGTGCTTCTACGAGTGCCAATCAAGGAAACACATCCAGCGAGTAGAAGTTATAGCTGCTTCTACTCATGCTTAAGTGGGTGATGTACCCTCACCACTTCAGGAATTGGCTTTGATGCGCTGTCACGTAGGACAAACTACCTAGGTGCGCTACTAACCGAGTTTGGCTTATCTGACGAGGTGACTCGGTCAATGGTGGAAGCCTGCAAGGAAGACCCCGTCCCGATGGACATCATGCACAAACTTGAGACCCGAGACAAGGCCACATCAGATGAGTTTGTGATGGCCGTAGGGTTACTCTTTCTTGAAAAGGCAGGATTCAAAAGATTAGTTGTTCCATCTAATGAAATTTTGCATAGTTTGTTTCTAGGTCACTGTCATGATGTGACAGGTCATTTCGGTTACAAGAAGACTCGTGCTACCTTAGTACAACATTTTTGGTGGCCTGGTATGCTTGACGATGCGAAGAAGTACATATAGACTTGTCAGGTCTGTTAGTGGGACAAGCCGCGAACTCAAGCTCCGCTTGGGTTACTCAAGCCCTTGCCCATTTCCTGCAGGTCTGAGACAAAATGTTTCCATAGATTTCATGGATACCCTCATGACCAACAAGAGTGGCAAGAGGCACATCTTCGTCATAGTAGACCAGTTCACTAAGTATGCTAGACTAATCGTCATGCCCGAGAAAACAAAGACTGAACACGTCATCGAGTTATTCATGGATAATTGGGTGCGTGACTTTGGACTGCCCAAAACCATTGTCAGTGATAGAGATGTCAGATTCACAAGTGAAATGTGGAAAAAGGTTGTTGAACAGATGGGCAGTCAACTCCAAATGACTTCGGGGAATCGTCCCGAAGCAAATGGTCAAGCGGAAGAGATGAACCGTGTGGCATCTGCTGAGACATTACATCAATCCTAACCAAGATGACTGGGATGAGAAACTTCCTCTCATCGCCAGTCTGTACAATAACGATGTACACAACGCCACCGACGTCAGTCCCAATCAGCTGCATAAGGGGTGGAAGCCTCGATCTTCTCTAGACTTCCTCCTACCTAAAAATCGACCCAATGCAACGCCTGGAACTGTTGAATTTGGTGTTCAGTATGAGAAACTGTTGCAGCAGGCTGTCGAGAATATCAGAAAATCTCAAAAGGCAATGATTGCCTCTGAGAACAAGCATAGACGACAGTCCACATTTCAGGTAGGGGAACGTGTCTGGGTAAAGCCTAGTGAACTGGGACAGGAATTTGGCATCACTAGAAAACTAATGCCACAGTACATCGGTCCTTGGGAAGTCCTAGATATCGTGGGTAGTGATCTGGATCGTCCCTCGTACAACATAAGAATCCGTGCTCATCTGCACACTTACCCTGTATTTCACGCTTCCAAGCTTGCACCTTTCGCTGAGACAGAACAGTTCCCATCAAGAAGGTCAATGCTGCCCCCAACCATGGATGGCCACATGGACGTCGACGATATTCTGGAACACAAAGACTTGCCTGTTCCCAAGCCTGCTGTTAGAGGAAGACGGCCCAAACGTATAAGGGAGTACAGGGTCGGGTTGAGGCATCATACAGATCCAAAAGAAGATCGTTGGTTCACAACACAGGAGCTTGTCAAGACAACACCTCATGGCTGAGTACGAACGAAGACTGAAGGGGAAGGCACCTGCTTAGAAGCATCTCAGTGGACTTTCGAAGCTAAGGGGGATGGAATGCGAGGAATGAGCCCCGCAGAGCCCTTATCAGACATAGAAGTGTTCTGGGCTGTGGCCCCTAGCAAGCGTCGTGCCCGCCCTAAGTGAAGGCGGGCTTGAATATCCACATGAGGCCTGTTCTCGACAATTTTTCCATATGTGGGTACTCTGACAGTTGCAGCACGCCAATTGGTTACAAACCCCCCCACAACATGAGCCTCCAGGCTCTTTCCAAAAGCAAAGGGCCGCACTGTACAGCTGAGCCCAGGGCTCAGGCGGTTGCGCCGTGGGCACACATTGTGTGAGGCCGACTAATCACGGACTGGTTACGAGCCAATGAGGAAGCAGCATTGCCGTCACATGTGGGCCGCGAGCCAATGAGAATGCTGCCAACACCTTGGAGGCTGGGTGGCTGCCTGGACGTGCCTAACTGCACGCGGCCCAGTTCAGTTTCCGAAACTGGGCCTGGGCGCAGACACTTGGGGCCCAACTGAAGCTACTGGGCCCCCCACATGCCTGGCCAGGACAGCCAGCAGCGACACACTTTGCACAAAGGCAAGTGTGAGCCCCTGGCAGTGGCATTCTGACCTTGGCAGGCAATGCGGACATGCTGCTGCGTTGCTGCACTAGCATCTGCATGGACCTGCTGGTCGGACCCACGCACGGGGGCAGAGGTGAGGGGCGCTGCAAGGGCAGTGGGCGCACAGCAGCCATAGCCGGACTGCAGGGGCGCAAGGCAGGTGATGGCAAAGGTGGTCTTCGGGTAGGAGGCGCGTGCTGTGGGAAGACGAGGGGTGATGAGGGGAGGAGGGAGAACTTACCTGGTGTATGCTGGTGGTCGGCATTGGTCTTCACATCGTGTACACTGGTCTTCGACTTCAGAGTGATCCAGTTGCAAGAACGTAGATAGGCTAGATAGGCTGAGTAGAATAGGCTGGCCGCTGGGCGCCAGACAGTAAGTGCGGCATTGGATACAGTGTTGGGGTGACCAGAAAGTGGCGACATTGACATTTGAGTTCACTGTATCGCTCTTATTTGGACGGTATCTTGGTACATTGCACTCTCTGCTTGGTTCATGACTATCTGAGCTTCTTCGTGATTTTGCAACTTGGATATCTGTCTATCGCTCTCGCTCATATTCCTTGCACTTTGACAGCCGCAAAAATAACAATAACTTGATTTTCAATCAAGATTGGAATGTTATTGTGGTTGTTCCAACACTTGTGTTAGTCTCCCCCACAGTTTTGTATGAGTGGCAGCACCAAGATCTGAGCAACATTGAGGAAAAGCAGCTACTTCACAATATTGAGCCAGTTTAAGGCTACTGCACACTTGTTTCATAGCTTTCAATTGAGCTGCAGAACCTACACGGCTTATAGACAATCCTACATTAATAGCACGCCAGATCACGATAAAACAGCTCCGTTCCCAAAAAGATGTGTTCGTCCATAGTCCATCACAAGGTGCGAAAGGCAACAACTTTATGCATGAAAGATAGCATAGGTTCTGAGATGTGGTGGAACATCCAGTACATAAGGTGTACCAAAGGGTTCAGCTCCCACTTCATACAGAACCTGCCATGGACCATAATACAATGGGTCATCGTTGTCGCAAGAAGAGGAGGAGGAGGTTGTCGTCATCGTAAAGGGAATGCTGACTGGGATGACAACGACAAAAATGACGGAAAAAAGAAGAAGTCGTCATTGTCGCAAAACGACGAGAGAGAAGAGGAAGAGGAGGAAGCGGAGGAGGAGGTGAAGGAGGAAGAGGAAGAAGAGGAAGAGGAGGAGGACAAGGAGGAAGAGGAAGAGGAGGTGGGCGAGGACAAGGGGAGGTCATCGTCATTGTAAAAGCGCCACCGGTCCACCGTAGCTGACGATGATGATGACAAAAAAAAGAAAAAAAACGTTGTTGTCGCCGGAAGAGGAGCGAGGAGGAGGAGAAGGAGGGAGAGGAGGAAGAGAGGGAGGAGGAGGAGGAGGAGGAGGAGCACGAGGAGGAGGTGGTGGAGGTTATCATCATCGTAAGGCGACACCACCTGCAACCTAAAAATAAAACAAAAAGAAACGACGTCCCCGTCATCGTCGTCGCAAGAAGAGGAGAGAGGAGGAATTGTAGAAAGAGGAGGAAGAGGAGGAGAAGAGGGAGAGGAGGAAGATGCAGAGAGGGAGGAGGAGGGGAGGCGGAGGAAGATACGGAGAGGGAGGAGAAGAGGAGGGAGAAGGGTGTCGACGTGTGAAACATGTCGACCTCGAACGTCAATGTCAAAACTGCATGCAGCGGAGGCGGTTCCCTGCATGCGATTTAAATTTGAAGACAGCCCCATCTCGGTTGTCAATTGTGAAGATGTGACGACCCAGGTGGGGCCCTTTTGTTATTTTTTAATTCAAGGCCTTCCAAACCTCGAGAAAAAAAATAGTGGTGCCCAGGGTGAGGAGGAATGCCTCCTCTACACTCCTGGACAGCAAAACGACCATAACCGGGCCCAGGCTATTTCGCTGGGTCTTGTTAGGTTGCTGAGGATGGAAACTTGGGCCAGACATCCACCCGCACATCCTGGGCATCAGAAGGGGGCCCTGACTTCCAGGTCAGCTGCTTAGCTTTACATGTTTCTCGAAGTGAAAAAGAAGACAAAGAGGGCATATTCAGCACTATTTTGTCATAAGGTTGCAAGCCAGACATGTACAAATGAATTTGGGCTGTGGATTAGTCACCAATTGTTGCATACTCGTGAAACACAGTCATAAGTATGGCGCAGATTCCCAGAACCGACCAGATAATACAGAGTAAATACAAATACAGCGGAAGATTTGAGATACATGGACTGACTCTGACCTGACTCGGACTGCAATCAAACACTCTCAATMATTCATCAGGGGTGTGAAAGCCCTGGCCTTGGACATAGATGAAAGGCCAGGGTCTGAGATCATCCACAGATGAATGGAGGGAGGAGAGAGACGAAGGGAGGAGGAGAGGGAAGATGACGTCAACTCAATGTTTCCAAAGATAGTATCTTGAAATGTCAGAGATGGCGAAAGTCCGAAATGTCGTGAATACAGTGTCCCACAATGTCTCAGATATCGATCTCACAATGTCAAGTACATCTCCAGAGGCAGATGAAATCAGATCCCACAAGTAATCCTCAACCTATAGTCCCAATGTCGCTGTCTCCAATGTCATCAGAATTCGTAACCATCTTTCATACTTATAGTARTCCCGTAGGAGAACCCAGAAGTAGACTTAGACTGAGAAGGTGGGAGGAGAGAGAGAGAGAGAGAGAGAGAGAGAGAGAGAGAGAGAGAGAGAGAGAGAGAGAGAGAGAGAGAGAGAGAG